CTTCAACCTTAAAGCTTTTAGAAATCCAAAATATGTATATTTATACCCTACACAACTATGTTGTCAGGGTATTATAGCTTTGTGCAGCCCCAAGAGTTTGTAACGCCGCGAAATATTGGTCCTATACCCACCTTTAAGTATACCGATCGTCATATCTCGACTAGCTGAGCCGATATAGACATGTGTGTTTGTTCCGTCCGTCTGTCCATTATAATTTGTAAATACGATACAGGCCACAGTTATGGACCAATCTTCACGAAATTTTGCATGTAGGATGGGTTCTGGCCAATGAAGACCCCTATTGTTTTTGGAAAAGATCGGTTAATATTTAGGGGATGAAATCTACCAAAAACTTTATTTTTGTCGGGTTTTCTGGTCGCTCCAGTGGCCGCAGTTATGGCCCAAACACCGCGATGTTTTGCATGGTGAAGCGGATCGGGCATGCCTGTTTTGACAAAGATCGGTCAATATTAAGCGGGTCAAATGGACCCTAACTTTTGTGTGAAAAATGACAACATTTGTATTCTATAGCGTATATATTTACCACTGAAGGACGTAGACCCGAGAAGTTGATAGTATATCCAAGAGGAGTGGTTGATATTTTAATTGATACCAATTATATTGTCGTAGGCACTCGGATGCGGGAGTTACATTTAAATATTTACAAGTGCTTACGTATTCAGATATTATTTAATAACCTATTACCACATTGGAGGGCGGAAATATAGAGCGGATCGCTTTGAAATGTTCCATGAGGTTCCAGTTATGGTCAAGGACAACGCCTAAAATGTTAGGTGATGATCAGATAATAATTTTTCGGATGAAGTGGTCCGAAAACTTAATTATTTGTACTTTTCGAGTCGAAAGCCGAACATCACAACACAACCCACGGTGAAGGGAATCTGGATAAGTATGTAGAGGGGCTGTACTGATTATTAGTAACATTTGCTGACCACTAGCCAGTCAAAAGTGTGCAAATATCGCGAAATATTGCCCAATCTCAGAATATAGAACCACAGAAAGTTGTGTAGGGTATCCTATGGTCGGCCCCGTCCGACTATACTGCTCCGCTCACTGGTTTTTACAATGGTTTAGATGTCTTCCGACCAATTATCTTTAGGTTCTGTTATGATAGCTACTCCTAAGAAGATGAACAAAATTTTTATAACCCCAGCCTTAACGTCAATGGAATAAAAATTAGGCTTTAAGCGAAAAGTCTCTTCGGACCCAATATGTTTTGGGTTCTATTATGGTAGATATTCCCCTGCAATCAGATTTTAATTTTTATTGGCCCTTTAAACCCATATTTTTTCTAAAGAATATTTTTTCGAGGACTATATAAGGCGTGGATTTTCTAAAGAATATTTTTTCAAGGACTATATAAGGCGTGGACTTTCTAAAGAATATTTTTTCAAGGACTATATGAAGGTGGATTTTTTAAAGAATATTTTTTCAAGGACTACATAAGGCGTGGATTTTTAAACGAATATTTTTTTTAAGGACTACATAAGGCGTGGATTTTTTAAAGAATATGTTTTCAAGGACTACATAAGTCGTGGATTTTTTAACGAATATTTTTTCAAGGACTACATAAGGCGTGGATTTTTTAAAGAATATTTTTTCAAGGACTACATAAGTCGTGGATTTTTTAACGAAATTTTTTTCAAGGACTACATAAGGTGTGGATTTTTTAAAGAATATTTTTTCAAGGACTACATAAGTCGTGGATTTTTTAACGAATATTTTTTCAAGGACTAGTTTCTAAAGAACGTTTTTTGAAGGAATTTATAAGGCTTTTTTAAATAACGTTTTTGAAGGATTTTATAAGGCTTTGATTTTTCAAGAATATTTTTTCATGGACTATATAATGCGTAGATTGTTTGAAGGACCCTATATCGAGTAGATTTTTTAAGGACTATATAAAAAGTAGATTTTTGAACGGGTGGATTTTGTAAAGACTATATAACGGGTAGGTTTTTAAGGACTATATAAAGCGTAGATTTTTTGAAGGACTATATATCGGGTAGATTTTTAAGGACTACATAAAGGGTAGATTATATAATGGGTGGATTTTGTAAGAACTATCTAACGGGTAGGTTTTTTAAGGACTATATAACGGGTAGTTTTTTAGGAATATTTTTTAAGACGTAGATTTTTTGCAGGACTATATAGGGCGTTGATTTTTTAAGAATATCTTTTAAGGACCTACAGAAGTGTGGATTTTTTAAGGGTAAACTATAACCTTCATTTAAAAAATATGTTTAAAGGCAAACAGAAACTTGTCCCGTTTTAAACTATTTCTTTAAGGTCAAACAGAAACCTGACCCTTTTTAGATATTACATAAGGACAAAACGATAGCTATTAGTACTTATCCAAAAAACTTGGGGTCTAGAACCAACATTCAACGAGGATTGGGTATATATCATCATTAGTCACAATACAAAGGGCATATATGGACATACGGGCATATTTGTTTAACATCGTGACCCGTTTCCGCCTAAAAACAAAATAAATTGCCCTCACTTACCTTTATAATCCGGTACGGTTACTTTCGTTACCAAACTATTCGGTTGCAATGTATGTCCCGTAAACAGTTCATTACGACGGTACAATGAAATTTTTACTGTCGTAAGATTTTCATTTGATTTCCATAGATTTTCGGGCAAATGGACAGCTACTTCAATCTGCGATTCCTGGAGGAGGTCATCCAATGATTGATTCATATACAGACAACGATAATAAGAGTTCGATTTGATATCATACGACATTTTACGTGTCGGTTGAACATTGCGATTATAAATGACAACACCAGAAATATTCGAACACACTGCATTGATATAGAAAACCGTGAGTAGACCTTCCGATTTAATGAGAACGCCATTTGGAATTTGTGTACAATTTGAGGTAGGTACTGTGGTTGCGGTGATATCATCAAGATATTCTTCTACTGTTTGGATAAGAGTTTTGGTAGTGCCATATTTTTTGGCAACCGTTATAACACTCTGCGAACTATTCATCAGATTGTTGGCTATTTTCATGACATTCGGCAACAGTTCAGGTTGTTTAGATTTATTCTGACCGATAACATTTTGTAAAATATTTGTGGATATTTGTAGATCAGCTGGTATCCGATTGATGGTGCTTTTTTCTAATATATTTTTTAAACTTGTTGTGGCATTCAATGCATATTCCGACGTCAGGGTTCCATTGTGGCTTTGGACTTCATTATTTAGCTCATTCAGATCATAGGTTACAATACTATTTTCGATGTCATGTAAGCAGGTGATGTTTGTGAGATTTTTAGGCATCCAATTGGCTGCATGATCCTGTTCCGTGTAGATACATTGCCTGGTTAGTAGGCTACCATTTCTCTGCAAACATGGTTCCTGACTTTGGACCACACCACCTACTTGTCCAGCTGGCCATTGATTGATGTTCGTTCGCAGAATATTATTTTTCATAATATATTTGTGTTCAAATGTCTCCGACTGACAGTGATTTTGAATGTAATTACAGTATACCATGGACATATTCGGATCTGGCGGATTGTCCCACATGGTTCCACTTCCATTGCGGTAGCATGTTCTTTGCAGTGTCTGACCGGTTGACAGGGAACATAAATTTAATTTATTTTGAGTTCCCACAGCTGCTGGAAACCAAATCACCAAGGCTCGTAGGGTAATGGAGTCATTGTAGAAGGTGGCTTCATGCATATTTTGCCCACAGAATTCAGCGGCAGCATCGCTTTGCGTTAAATTATACAATAATAGAAGAGCCAATAATGCCGATATTGACATTTTAATTTCTTTGTTGTTTTATTTTTTTATTTTATTTTTTTTTTAAAAAATTATACTCAACTAAATCGCAAGAGATCTCGGACTAAACGATAAAATTTCTTTAAGAAACAATTAATGTTTAATGCGGTCTTATCACATATAGCTGTGTAATTATATCCATAACCACAATTTTTATTTTATGAATTGTCGTGCTTGTATGAATCAGAATTTATACCACAACAACATTACTAGGGGTTTTGGCAATTTTGAGAATTGATCAAGAATTTTAACGTATTTAATTCAAATATGAAATTTAGAAAAAAAATTTTAAAGGGTCAACAGATGCGTAAATATTTTAAATATTTTTTTTTCAAGAACTCAGAAAGGCGTAGATTGTTTATATAATCTTTTTCAAGACCAACATGGGTGTAGATTTTTTAAATAATATTTTCCAAGGACAAACAAAGGTATAAAAGCCTTGTTGCGGGCTAGAATTTCTTACGTATATAAAAGTCCCGACCGATTTTAGGTATTTTGAATTTTTAACTCACGTTGGAGAGTTTGAAAAATTCGGACCGGCCGAAATTACCACTTTTTTACTTGTTTCTGGATATATTAGGTTGCGCTTCATATTCATTTTAAACTTATGCAATTTTATGCAAGATAAACTTATATTAAAAACTAAAACACCACAAGAAGTCTTTACCAAAAATCCGCTAAAGCCGCATTATTATCATATGTCTTAACCTTGTGGAAATTATGTACATATGTTACAGTTCTTGAAGAAGCTACTTGCCACATGAACTTGTTATATAAAACTAGAATACATTGTTGCAAAATTAATTTTGGTACACGGTGAAATTTAAAGCGTCAGAAATGCCACATAAATAAAATGATATTTTAAAGAATATATATTCTTTAAAATATCAACGCCTTAAAAACCATTATTTAAAAAGTGCATGGCCTATATATTCCTTGAAAAATAATTCTTTACAAGTCCATGTCCTGTAGTCTTTGAACGTCTTTAAGGACTATATAAAGCTTGGACCTGCTAAATAATAATTTTTCAAAGACTACAGGACAATGACTTGTACAAAGGATTTTTTTAAAAACCCAAGCCTTATATCCTTGAAAAAATAGTGTTGGTCATCGAAAAAATATTTTTCAAAAACTCCACGACATATGTTGGCCCCTCAAAAAATATTTTTTAACAAATCCACTCCTTATAAGTCCATACTGACTCAATGGACTATATGATACCCTTCACCACTTTGAATATATTGTACATATGTATCCTTACAATTGTATGTCAATGTTCCCTCGAATAAATTTAATTTCATTCAGGCCGATTAAGGGTCGTCTGCGTACCATGGGACAAATTTATGGAAAAGGATTTATAGAAAAATGAATAAACGTTTCGATTTTCACGAAACATTGCACACATCAATTTACACTCAATTCAGTATGCTGTGCCAAATTTCGTGCAAATCGAAGATATATACATTAAATCGGACGGGCCATTGTACTCTTAATTCAGTATGCTGTACCAAATTTCGTGCAAATTGAAAGATATATAGAGTCTTTGGTGCTCCATTTACCTTAAATCGGACGAAAATATATATGGGAGCTATATCCAAATCTGAACCGATTTTCACGAAACTTAACCCACATCATTTTAGGCTTATTTTAGTACGCTGTGCAAATCGAAGGATATTTATGGACTTTGGTGCACCATTTATCTTAAATCGGACGAACATATACATGGGAGCTATATCTAAATCTGAACCGATTTTCACGAAACTTAGACACATCATTCTAGGCTTAATTCTGTACTTTGTGCCAAATTTCGTGCAAATCGAAAGATATATAGAATCTATATATGGGAGCTATATCTAAATCTGAACCGATTTTAACAAAACTTCGCATACATAAGTATGGACCTGATTCAGTGCGCTGTCACAATCGGACAAATATTGTGAGTTTGGTGCATCATTTACATAAAGTCGGACGAAACTATATATGGGAGCTATATCTAAATCAGAACCGATTTTCTCAAATTCCAATATGGTTCGTTCTTGTGCCAAATAAGTGAACTGTGCCAAATGTCATCCTAATCGGATTATAAATGCGGCCTGTGCTTTGTTTACAAAAATAGTGTGCGGACGGACGGACATGCGTACATCGTAAATCGACTCAGAATGTGACATAATACCCTACACCGCAGTGTGTTGAAGGGTATAACAAACCACGCCACGAAAAATATTTTTTAAAATGTCCACGTTTTATAGTCCTTGAAAAATATTCTTCAACAAATCCATGCCTTAGTCCTATTAGAAATATTCTTTCACAAATCCATGCCTCTATTTGTCCTTGAAAAATTGTACTTAGAACAAATATTCTTTAATAAAGTCTCGTCTTTTTTATCTTTATATAGGACTTGAAAAAAATCTTTATATAACGTCTTATGAAGTCCTTGAAAAAAATATTCTTTAAAATTCTTCTGTTGGTACTTAAAAATACATATTTTTATACCCTAGACAACTGTGTTGTCAGGGTATTATAGCTTTGTGCAGCCCCTAGAATTTGTAAGAAATATTTCTAGACCCACCTTTAAATATACCGATTGTCATATCTCGACTAGCTGAGTCGATCTAGAAATGTGTGTCCGTCCGTATGTCCATTATAATTTGTAAACACGATACAGACCACAGTAATGGACCAATCTTCACGAAATTTTACATGTAGGACGGGTTCTGGTCAATGAAGGCCCCTGGTTTTTTTTAAAGATCGTTTAATAATTAGGGGATGAAATGGACCAAAAACTAAATTTTTGTCGCTCTAGAGGCCGCAATTGTGGCCCAAACATAACGTCTTATGAAGTCCTTGAAAAAAATATTCTTTAAAATTCTTCTGTTGGTACTTAAAAATACATATTTTTATACGCCAGACAACTATGTTGTCAGGGTATTATAGCTTTGTGCAGCCCCTAGAATTTGTAACGTCGCGAAATATTGGTCCTAGACCCACCTTTAAATATACCGATTGTCATATCTCGACTAGCTGAGTCGATCTAGAAATGTGTGTCCGTCCGTATGTCCATTATAATTTGTAAACACGGTACAGACCACATTAATGGACCAATCTTCACGAAATTTTGCATGTAGGACGGGTTCTGGTCAATGAAGACCCCTGGTTTTTTGTAAAGATCGTTTAATATTTAGGGGATGAAATGGACCAAAAACTAAATTTTTGTCGCTCTAGAGGCCGCAATTGTGGCCCAAACATCGCGAATTTTTAGATGGAGAAGGAGATTGGGCCAAAGAATATGCATGCCGGTTTTGATAAAGATCGGTCAATATTTAGCGGGACAAATGGACCCTGACTTTTGTGTGAAAAATGACAAAATTTGTAATCTATGGCGTATATATTTACTCCTGAAGAACATCGACCCGAGAAGTTCATAGTACATCCAAGAGGAGTGGATGGCCTTTAAATTAATATCAATTACATTGTAGTCGGATGTGGGAGTTAACCTTAAATATGTACAGGTGCTTAAGTACTCAGATATTATTTAGTAACACATTACCACAATGGAGGCGGAAATATAGCGCGGATTGCTTTAAAATTTTCCATGAAGATCCAGGTATGGTCAATGATAGTGCCTATAATTTTCGGTGATGATCAGATAATAATATTGGGATGCAGTGGACCGAAAACTTAATTTTTTGTTTTTTTTTTCGAGTCGATATATAGGCCACAATTGAAAGCCGATCATCACAACACCTGTACTGGATATTAGTAGTATTGGCTGACCTCTAGAGGTCAAGAGGTTGCAAATATCGCTATAGAACCACACAAAGTTACATTTTTGTGGATGGTTTTAAATAGCTTAAGAATGTATTTCAAAACTTCCATGAAAAAAAATATTCTGTAAATATGGTCCTTGAAAAAAAATATTCGTTAAAAATTGTAATTCACGTCTGGAGACAGCAAAATTTTTCTTGGTGTATGATTTTCAATTTTTACGATACTTACACACACCAACGCTGTCATATACCTAGGGTCGAGTAAAGTAAACTGTATAATAATAATGTGACAGTCACATTGCCAACAAACAACAACAGTTTATAAAATGAAAAACTGCAGGAGGCACAGAAAAAACTGGTGGCAACGAGAAAGAGAACGAGAGAAAAAAAAAACAAATAACAACATGAAAGTAAACAGTTTTACGAAATTCTAAGCCACGCGTATAAAGAAAACGAAAGCAAATGATGCATTTTCTCATAACCCAGAATAATGTGTGTATGACTCTACGTGATATACAATACATAGTATACACTCACTCGTACTTGTGCAATATATTTCCACACAGCAATGCATTCCGTAATAAAGCACATTTTCCTAATTATTATCGTTATCCTTGTCGTAATTATCAACATCATTATTATTAGTTTAACCGGGAAGGTGAGACGTGATGATTGTGTCAAATTCACAAGCGTGTACACACACAGAGAGGGAGGTATAAACACAAAAATTGTGTAAAGGGAAACGGAAACGAAATAAGGTTAAAAGCCACTTACGTCTTGAGTAAATAGTACCGAGAAAATGCGACATATTATTCTGTCAAGATCGTTGCACACAATTACACACAACAGCACATACGCACAAATGTTTAAATGTGCTACACGTTTTGGTAAAGGCCATGGAATTTAATGTTACGAAGGTAATATTGCATGCAAAAGACATAATCTCATGAGGTACAGTATATTAATGAAAATAAGGTATTCGTACAGAATAGCAAATAGTTCTTGAAAAAATATTCTTTAAAAAAATCCACGTCTTATATTACTAACTTAGCTGGCTTGTTACAGAACGGCGTCGATCTTGTGTGCATCTCCTCCAATTTGAAAGACCACGTTCCAATACGTTGTTTTCTACTTGGTCTTTCCATCTGATTCCTGGCCTTCCGCAGTAGGCTCGCTTTTATATGCCTTTTGAGCTGGGGCATTCTCATTCATTCG